CTCAGTTTACACGAAATGTCGGCAGAGACGCTGGTACGTCTATCATGCCGATTTGTCCCTTAAGATTGCAAGACAGCTTTGGAATTCATTTGTGTGGCTTTCAACGGACATCACAACTTTGGCCATTGAATACCACCTAGATTCACAAAATGTACAAAGACCATGAGTAACACCCTTCTTTTTTTGCCATTACAACAACTTGTGACTCAAAAAGCTTGAGGAGCTGAAAAAGTTAAATAGTGCTTGATCGATTTTGACTGTTCCTTTCATATCCACATGTGCAACAACCTTTTTTGCAATGAGATTAAATACATGTAAGCAACATGATTGAACTCAGTGTTCACCATTTTCTGTAAAGGAAACATTGTCAGTTGAAAATCGTAATGAATAAAGGGTCAATTGAAACCCACACGTAATTTGATCATTGAGCTAGGAGAATTGGTGACAATGGCACCGATTTGTTCCCAGGTTACACCTTGTCCATTTCAGAGGTGTGTCAAACATCATCAGGATCTAATACATCAATTAATTTTTTAAAACTTGTACCACAGAGGAGGAAGAGAGCATAGACACTGTTCCGTGAGCAGTCAGACCATCCATCAAGCAAGATGGTGATATTGGTTTGTTGCTTGAGTTCACCCTTGGTTTTGACCAAATAGGCAGCATGAAGTTGAGGAAGAACCGTATCCATCATCATGAATCGGGAGGCAGGAGTGTGTGGTGTCATCAAAACATTTGTTGAAAAGCTTGGAAAAACGGATTTTGAAGGAAACGGATGGCCACATGGCCCGTGATCAAAGCTTTGAGCAAATGTTTGTAAGTTTCTTGGACTTTATCTGGTTTACAATGCTTGAAGAATAGACTGAAGTTATGCTGAATCTTGGGTCGCTTGATCAACGAGGTCTCTGAAGTCTCAGACATCTTGCGGCTTTGGGAATATATCACAACTCTTTGATAAAACGGAATACATCACACGTTGTTTATCATATTGATTATGTAGTCAAGGAAGTAATCAGTTACTTACTTGGTTTTATTTTCACCAATAACAAGCTTTCATTGGACGATGAAGCTTCTTCATTGTCTGAAGACCATTGAATATCACTCATTTTCGATTTCCTCTTATTCTTGGAAGCTGATTTTTCTTCGATTCGATGTTCACTTTCTGACTTGGAACCTTCTTCAGATAAATCCAATTGTGATTGAAGTTGTTGTAATTCTTCTTGATCATCTTCTCTATTCCTTCTTTCAGTTTCTTTGAACGTGTTCTCTATTTCAAATTCTGGATGGTCTTCTGACAAAGGAGGGTCGTCAGAATTAGGCGGGGTAGGTTCTGGTGTGATCTCTGGCCCTAGACCAAGGTTCCTTCTACTAGATCACATCTTAAATTATTGATATATTGATAGAATGTTAGTTTGACAAAGGATGATGTGCTTTTGAAAAGGAAAACTCGCTGAGTTGCAAGGGTGAGCCCGAGAAGAGACAGAGGAAGCAGTGGAGGAAACCGTGAGGATGCGGAGGGGATGACTCTAAGGCGTGAACAAGACTGTTCGAGACTTAGGGGACTTGGTCAGACAGGGACAATCCAATCTAGGACTCGTCTCTCCCAGCATGACAGCCGGATTTCCTCATCAGGCACCAGAGACTTCACAGACGTGAAAGTCTCTGGTGACTAGTCACAAATCTCTGTCTTGCTGTGCTGGCTTCTTGATGTGAAATTTGTAAAATTTCAGGCAAAATTTCTGTGGTTATATTTCATCAAGTGCGGAACAAGCATGTTGACTCAGAGGGGGTGTATTGAAAATCAAGTCATTTCAAGGTATATCCCTCATGGAAGAAGTTAACCATGAAATCTGACAAGTCATGGATCTTTCATGCATCTCACAATCTCTGAAGTAATTGTATATATTAACGGAGAACTATCAATTTGAACAAAATCTGACAAAACTCTGTGCCCCACTTGAATATTTGATAGTTTTGAGTACTCAATGTTTCTAACTCTTAATGATGGTACATATACTTGCAAACACAGGCCAATGACAACTTTGACTTGGCCTGCCAGTCATAACTTGTTTCCTGACTACCACCTGATCAAAGGTTTTTTTTGATATTTAATGTTGACTCAAACCTCACTCAAACCTCAAGATTGTCACTATATCTTGAGGTTTGTCAATGCCTACACCAATAGGTTTAATAGCAATATGAACAATCAAATCTAACCAAGGGATCAATTCCAAGGCTGATCAATGAGGGGAAACCCCAAGATTGGAAATGTGTTACTTGCAGCTGTTCAGAGTTTATGATTAGTAAGGTATGTTGTCCTTATATCCTCATGTCTCTGATGTCTAGATTTTGATTGTAAAACCAAATTTTATCCTCTTCTCTATTTTTCAATTCTTGATCATGTCTTACAACTACACAAATTGGTTGTTTGCCTGGATTCTGATTGAGTGATTTTGGCCCTTCTTCTTATGCTTGTTCATTTGAACATATTATTACAAAAGCTATGGGCTTCACCTCTCAAATCCTTGATTGAAAGATTTGCTTGAATTTACTCATCATTTAGCCAACTGAATTCCTACTTCAAACCAGCTCTTTGAAAAGATCAAATTGAATATAGGATGGATGTCAAGTATCTGGATAGCAAGTCAAGTATTGTACCTGCTTTTGAAATTGTATGCATTTGGCGGTTGGGAATTATTAAAATGAAGAAGTCATTTTATAAAGTGAAGATAAATCTTCATATTGCATTCTATTGACTTTGATTCTTGATCAATTGGATTTGATTAACAATGACCAGAAAGAAGTGAAAATGAAAAAAATACAATTTTTTTCCTGACGGGCAAACAGTTCTTTGAACATCAAACCAACCAACTAATTCAGGTCAGTTCCTACAGATTTGAATTGAAATTGTAACTTAAAGTCAAGTATGAGTGATTTACTCATTCTTCCCTTACATTCTCAGTATGCAAGGACACATATCCAAGCAGTTGATTACTTGGGCGTCATGATTTCTAACTTAACTGATAAATCATCCACAAATTTTATCAATATATTTGAGGCAATTGTTAAAAGTAAGTTGTTTGCTCCAGGATTATCTTACAACTCAAGTAGCTCTATCTAATTATTTCATTTTCAGAAGTTGGAGCCTTGATATTGGCTTATGACCTGTCAGGTGATTGGTTGATGTTATCAAAAGCTGAGGAACTTGAGAATTGGCTTCTTCCAGAATTCAGAACCAAATTTCAATCTCATCACCTTCTGCAAACAAAAAGAAATTGAAATTGAAATTCAATTCTTTTCATCAATCTTCTGCTCCTTCAAAGAAAACTCAATTTACTCTGCATTCTCAACCTGAACCTCAACACACTTAAGTCTTTTGTTTCAAAGTTGGATTATCTTCAATTAAACCAATACAATCACTTTCTTATCCATTTTGCATCATCATCATTATATATACCACAGGGTGACTTTGAACTGGGACCACATGGAATGTAAGTTCGGTATTATCAAGTCAAGTGGTTGTGTAAAACAGGTGGCAGTAGTGTGAGCTCAGCTACGTGGCCCTCACACAAGCTTGTCACCCATTCAACATGTGAGCTTGCTGGTGAGAGCAAGTTCACGTCACGCTGATGTGCTGTACCAGCCTATTTGCAGGTGAGCTGATGTGGGTGAGCGGGACCTGTCAGCCAGGTGCTCAGCACCTGAATCAGCTTGGATGACTCAAATTCTTGAGAACACAATGACAAGGATATTTGCACTTCTACAACTTTTTTTAGGATTTTATTTTTGATTTTTCTGAGGAACAGTGACATCACTGGTTTTTACTTCTCTAAAATTCATTGACCACCATTGTTCTTTCAAGTTTTTCTGCACCAAACCACTCAAATGTCACCACTTTGATCAATCACAAGCAGTCTCACTCTTGCATCTTCAATAGCAAGATTCATCAACTGAATCACATTAATGCAATAGATTACCAAAATATTTTACCAATCTTATCAAACAGAACAACAAGCAACAAGAAGAACAATTCAGAACAACTATACCACCACCTCATCATCATCATCTCAACCCATCACTCAAAGTTCAATCTTACCTAATAGAATTGAGGTAGCCATTGAATCAACACCAGGTCATTTCATTGGTGTAGGAGTTTATATAGATGCAGGTTCAAGATACGAACGTCGCAAACTAAGAGAAGTCACTCAAACCTATTGAATGGCATTCAAATCAACTCAAAAAAGAACCACAGACCAAATTGTATTTGAAATCAAATCATTAGGTGGGTCATTCTTTGCTTCTTCAGGTTGCAATATGATTGTTTATCAGGCTGCTTCATATCCTTCAAATTTACATCATCATTCCCTGTGATACAAATATCCACATCACCTTCTGATTAATCTTATTTGATACAAATCTTTCCCTCTCTATTTTTCAACTAAACTCTTCCAAATTTATCTTTCCTATTAGCTTGATATATGTATGTAGTATTTAAGAGTTTCTGCCAATGCAAGCAGTGTATGAATTCATTTATACACAATTCTGTCAGCAAAAACAACATCCAAGCCCAATTTGAGTGGTCTGGCTATTAAGGCCAAACAAGGTGGAATGAGCACTGAGAGGAATCACTCATCCTGCCATTGAGTGATCAGGCTTACACCGTTGTTATGTCGGATAGCTCACCTTGTCACTGTGTGAGCCATTCCACCTTGTTGTGATGTGAGATGCTCACCTTGTTATGATAGGGATCACATTGGGTGGAGCTCACGCCGGCTGGCATGCTCACATTGAATATGGAACTGTAGACAGCGTGTGTTTTATTGGAAGAGTCAAAATTCACGTGAGCATTACATACCACCCACCCGTGGTGTAGTTATCAAGCTTATTCAACACAGGTAACTCTTACTTCAACATCAATCAATCAAACTTGATTGTTTAAAAGAGCAAGTGGTCAACAAACAAGAGACAATTCAAGTTGATACAGTACCCAGAGTTTCAGAAAATCAGTCAGTGAAGAGAGATTGTCTTTAATCAAATGAAGGATCATCACCTGTATTGGAAGTGAAACAAATGACTGAAACAGAAACAGAAAAGGATAGCGGCGATCTGCTTGCAGATGATCTTGATAGTAAGTTTCCTAGTCTCTCATGTTTCTTTGGAATCGATCATTTCAACTAGACGCATAATAAATTTTATTCATTTTGTTTTGTGGCTTTCATTGATTAGATAGTCTTGAGTTGATACAAGACAAAGAAGAACAAGAAAAACTGAAACCTACAAAATAAGAAGGAGAATCAAGTCCATTTCCTTCCCAAAATTCTCAAAGAGAGAAAATAGGAGCGGGTGTCTGGAAGCATACACTTTCAGATACCCGCAGTGCTCACTTTTTTGCCAAGTATTGGTGCTAAAAAGTGCGGTACTTGTCCTCAGCAAACGGAGGATGAGGACCGCGTAGCTCTGGGTGTGAAACACCTAGCCAAGTGAGGGAACTGAGTCCTCCTGAAACCTCAGTGGCTCATCCATTTCACAAGGTACCCACGAGAAGTTGGGGAGGAGACTCTCTGAACCCAATCATGGGCACAAAGGATCATGGAGCCGAGGCCCTGGAAGGGACTCCAACCCAATCTCAATGGTACAAGGTTCAATAACTGCCACACCCAACAGCAAAGTCAGCTTTATTACATTAAAAATCACAAGCGTAAGCAAAGACATGGCGGAACAAACACAACGTTAAGATTCTTGACTTATTCCCTCTGCAAAGTTTCTTGTACTTTGCGCCACCTTCCCACTATAAGGCCAAACATACAATTTATAAGCATCAAATTTCCAACAACCTTTTTCATCAAAGCATGTTCTGAACATCCCGTATGAGCCATCAAGAAGGCACCACCAATTCTCAGGCTATGACCTCACCAGAGAAAAGTGTCTTAAGGCGTATTTGCGGACACAAAGGATATTACCGTACTACGCTCAATTGGTACCGTCCCGTTGACACCGGAAAAAAGAGGGTTGTTAGGTCTTCCTTTCACACTTGATAAGAGATTGGTCAAGGCTGAAATGGGGTCAAGGTGGTTTGGTTGGAATGTTAAGTTGATGTACTGAAGCTCACCTGGAGCTGCGGTTTTGGCTGAACATAATCGTATGGTTGTGTTCCTTCCGCCTTTTTCTATCTTCACATCTCTAGGGAAAGATAGGGAAATGAGAAGGAAACGACGGGGTTGAGAAAAGCCGTGAGAGAGAAGTGGATGAGAACACAAAGAGATGTTTGACAAGAGACTTGTAGCTGGAAGGACAAGATTTGTGGAACAGACATGAACTTGAAAGAGTTGGTTCACCTCCCAATGTTCCTTGGCAGCTTACTAATCTCTGGGCTTGGCTTTAAGGCCGGCTTAGAGTCTCAACCGCTCATTTCCTGAGAAATGGATCACAGAAGATCCTTGTGCCTTTGTCACCACCGGTACATCGAAGAAAGAAAAGAAGAACAACAGCAGAAACAGCAAGTGATCAGCTCAAGTTAGAAAGGCATCAAGAAGTTGGATATTTGAAAATGAAAGGAATGGAAGAAATCTAATTGAAGAAACTAATTGGATTAATCAATCTAAAACAAAACAAAGAGAATTTAAGAGACATGGATGAAATGATAAATGAAAGAAAAATCAAACTGATTCAAACCAAAAGAGAAAATTTAATTGAGAAATTGAGGAAATGCTTTGGAATAATGAAAACATTGAATTGATCATTAAGAATTTCTGAAGAGAAATTGAAATTAAATGTGATTGAAGGTGAATTAAAATGAATCAAAGATTTTGAGATGGATCAGTTTGAGGATCAGATGAAAGTTTTAGAAGATGTTTGGGTTCAATTGGAGAATTATGTGATGAAAGTTCAAGCTGTACATGGACCTGGGTTTAATTGGCTGGAAGACGTGACTTATGAAGCTTGAGAAAGTAGGCAATCTTTCCTTAGTCTTTCTTTCCGCCTTAAAAAACATCAAGAATACTGATGATCAGTGATTTCTTTGGAATTGGGGGGTGTTTAGGGTATCATTTATTTCCAAGTATTTCAAACAAATGTAAAGAAAGGTTTCAAAGATGAATCTTGAATGGAACAGATCTAAAGACAGGTGGAAGTTTAGGATTTCCAGAGTTCTTTGAAAAGATTAAAGAGACTCACGATTTGGTTTTAGATGAAGGTAGTGTGTTTGATTTGAAATTGGATAGGTTAAGGGTTAGGTATGTTGAAAGTTTGAAGAACAAAAACAGTTGGGAGGGGAAAGATAAGCTTTAGGGTAGGTGTTTGGAATTTTTTGGAAGGTATGGAAGTTGGAGGGGTTGGGGGTTTTGAAGACTTTCTTGTGAAAGTAAACAATTGGATTTGGTTTGATTATTGATTACAGATTGGTGTTTGGCTTTTACAAATAATTGATTTTGGGAGTATGATTCTTTAGAAAAACAGACAACTTCATAATTTGTTAGATTTTTTTCATTGGAACCATTCACCACTCACCCTAGAAAAAACAAATTTTCAGGATCTACATGAAACACAATCACTTTTTTTCATTTTTCCATATAATCTTTAAGGATGTTATAATTTTTTTAACTTTTTTTCTATCATTGTGATCAAATCATATTATTACGTGAAAACCTTTTGGTATTTGGATTTAATTAGGATGAGAAGGGTTTTGTATGCAACATCAGAACTGTACATTGTCAAACAAACCAATATTGTTTCAATTCTGCTAACCAGATCTGTATGAATCAATTGGAACAATCTTCATCCAATTAATCTCACCGCCAACATACTTACCTTGGATTACAAAATCCAAGGTATCCTCAGATGCAAAACCTTGGACAGAAGCTTCTCAAGGGTTTGATCTGAGGTAATTCTCAGGGCAAAACAATACCTTGTGGGAAAAACTTGGACAAGGTCTGTCCGAGGATTTGCCTCCGCTGATGCCTTGGATTTCTCAACCCAAGGCATCTATGCTGGCGATGTCTGTATAGCTGTCCACATATTCTCTCCAAGTTGACTCTCTACAAGTCAATGTCAGCAAGCATCTAGAGAGAACATTTGGGATCCCTCTAGAATGACTATTTTTTACATATATAAGTGTGTCAACTTCCATTTTTAATTGCAGTCTCAATGATCAATGAATTGTGATTAACAATGATTGACTAACTCTAATAATTTTTGTTCTTACAAATGCCAATAATTCACATTTCAGCCAATTTATTGTGTGAATCAATTTTGACTAATTAAATTGCATTACACTAAGTTTCTCACTTTCCAAACCGTGAATTGAGTGACTGGACTTCACTTCAACTCAGCCTTATCAAGCATCATTATAGGCATCATTCATCTCTGTGATTGAAAATGATTCAAGCATCATTCAGTGATTTTGGCACAACACCAATCCATCTTGAAAATTGAACTTCAATTAATTCATGGTCAAATTGATTTGGCTCTAGATGATTTTTTTTGATAGATGTTAAAAATAGAATGACAATGATTTCCTCACAACACCTGTGATTGATTCCATTGCTTGAAACAAAGGGTGTGAAGTGAGCCTTTGAGATTTTCAAGTTCAAAAGCTGTGCTGATGTCAATATTCATTCTCAATTGCATCAAGCACAATGTATCAAAAACAAAGGCCACAGATCAAGAGGAGGTAGAAGAGGGATAACAATCAAAAGAATCTTTGCCACCTGACATGAAGGTTGAACAATCCCAGTCTCACTCCAAAATATTCAACACCTTGGGTGATCTCAAAATCAATGGGATTGAAAAGTAGAAAACTCTATCATCAACACGCTTCAATTGACCCAAATGCATGAAATTGAATCTTTATTTGAGAGAACCACCATAACACAGGTGGTTTGTAGGTCCATGACAACTTGCGGTGACTGCAAAAGGTAAAGACATGAAATACCCGCACGGCACCTGGCCCCAAGGCAAGTTGTGTAGACTCAGCCGTGTGCCACAGGGAAAGTTTTTCCCTTACACTTTTCCTCCCTTTACCTCTCAACCTTAGTCAGCCAAAAGAATTGGTGACTCTCACTGCAAGTCCATCTGTCAGAAAGCTCAAGACACTTGAAGATCTGAGTGCTCAGTTTTTGTTGATTAATTGTTATATTTCTCGTTTCATAAAATTCTCCAACAAGTTAAATTTAGAGAACAAGAAATCAACAGAACAGAAATTCAAGTGAAAATCAACTGGAAAGATGGATGAAGCAATTGCTCAGGCTGAAGCAAAGGCAGCAAAATTGACATTAACGGGAATGCGGGCGGCAGCAACAGGACAACAATCAGGCCCCCGAATTGCCACACCTTGTCGAGCTTGGACTCTTCCTCAAGAAATCGCCAACCCAGTCGATAACCTAGATGGAGACCCTTTTGACGGCAAACCCATTCAAGGGGAGGAAGGCCAAGATGAAAGAGCACCCCAAAGTGGATCACCTGACAACATTGATGCACTAGAAGTAATACAAGCATTGTTGATACCTTTGGATGAAGACAACAATGCTTCCTGGCGGCTAGATCAACACGGTCAGCAAGAGGAGGGGAAGGGGAAAAGAAGAGCATTGTCATCAGCATGCTCACCTTCACCAAATTTCAAGTCAGGAGACGAAGCTCAACTGCTACCAAATTACGGTGAGCACCAAATTTCTTCCAAAGTTCTGTTTAAAGGCTCAGAGGAGCAGCCATGATCCTCATATGAGGTTGGCAGGTTCGAGCTATCCAGCTCCAAGAGGGGGGGCTCAGATACGTTGGAGTCTTCTGAAAGTCCCAGGAGCCCGAATGAGCAGGGGGGCAAAGAGACTGGCAGGGAGACAAAAATAGAGTCTGACAAACCTGTATTTTGAACTATTTTGCCAAATAGAGCAACCACCAAGAAACCCCAATGACAGGGTTGAATGGTTGTTTGCAAAGGGCAGACGAGCAGAAGCAATCGCACTGCTGGATCACTGGCACCTACACAGCAATGACAACCTAGTACGGGACGACAGGACAGGCCTGGTAGCTGGGGGTAGTGGACTGCCTGGCACAATGCCTTACGCTTTGATCACCAAAGACCTAACCAACAACAAGAAGTCACTTGACAATTTAGCCCTTGCTAAAAGGATTTGGAGACCAGAACACCGTGTCAGACGACCTACTCCAGCTAGACCCCACACCGTGCAAAACCGAGTGGTCGTAAGCAAGAACAGCGTTAGACCAGATAGAAGAGACAGCCACGTCCAAGATGATGGTTACTAAGGCAGAGAGGACTCGGTACACCCCAGCCCTCCCTCACCTTGTTTTCTGGAGGAAAATTCAACAAGGTCTCGTAGGAACCATCATGACAGAGAGCAAGACCTCAGAAGACACCCCCACTTTGACAATCCCGTTTCTAGACCAACTTCTCCAAGACGCCAACGTTTCGATCCAGACCAAGAGCCAGTTTGTCGACGGGAGACCGGAAACCGCCTACCCCCATCCTCCAGAATCTTCAATTCAGCGGCAAACCAAGACCCAATAGCTCTCACCGTAGAAGAAGAAGAGGAACAAGTCAAAGTGTTAATGGCAACAAAAAAAGGACTGTTAGTCCTTCAAAATGGAGACATTATAGAGAACGGGAGGAGATTGGTAGCGGATACGAGCAAAGAAATGGAAAAAGGTTCAAATCAACTGTCCCCAGTCTTGACTCACTGGCTACGGACCTTCAAATCCTTCATTCCTCTCACCGTCTTCAATAAACAATTTTTCATCAACAACCAGACGGAGTGGAGCAGGCGGAAGGCCCCTACTGAATCAAAAATAGAAGACAGTAGTTCATCACCTAGGGTATACGGAGGCACCCCCCCTCACAAAGAGATGACAATGCAGTTTGAAGACTGGATCAATAGCATTGGTTTGTTTATAAAGTACGTGGCTTCAGCTGGCTGGATGACATTAGCAGAAAGGTTCAAAGGACGTAGGAAGGTGGTGATGGACCTATGAGAGAATTTTGGTTGGGTGATAGCATTGAGATATTGCAGAGGGATCAGACAGAGTGTGATGAGGGAAACAGTGGATAACAAGATCCAAAACTTCAGCGTTTCACAATTGGCCATATTTGAAGAGGCAAAAATAATCACCGACTCACACCAAGAGAGGGCATATAGGACTAACCCATACGCTCCAGGAGGCGCATTGGCACACCTCAATCCTTTGACGGGAGCAAACCGATCCTCAACTCATACCACCACCACCGCCACATCAGCTTTTGCGAAGAAACCATATGAAGTGACCAAGTTGGTCAAGGCAGAACCTTCTTACAGCAAGTTGCTAGATCCCAACTGGATTCTGTCCTGGAAGTGGAAGACGAGGTCACCAAAAGGAAGAGAAGAAGAGTTAGCCTGAAGGCCTGGGGGATCATCACGTAGACGAGACAATGACCGAGACAGAGGTAGAGACCGGTACGGAGGAGACAATAAGAATTGCTACCAGAAGAGAAGCTGCTCAAGGAGCCGCAGCCCAAAAGGAGGGAAGGGTAGAAAGGGACGCTATGCGTAAGCCAGATTTAGAAATTTCAAAGAAAAAAAGAAAAAAAAAGAAGATTTTTGAAATGAAGTTGTCTAGACATATGCCCAATCTTGTGAGACATGGGGTCAAACCAAAGAGAGACATACAAGTCTTGGTTTGTGAGAAATGAGAGCTTACCAAACAATGAATTCACCCTTTTTCCCCTCCCCCCATGTTTTGCATACTACCCCCCCTCTCTTGCTCTCCCTGCCTCACCTGAAACTTTTTCAAATCCTCCTTGAAAAACCAGAGTACCACAGCATACGGTTAGCCCTCCTCCAATAAGGAGAGAGGACTCAAGGCTTAGGTGGCCAGGAAAAGCTTCATGCAAGATGAACGTGAAGGTGTGGGAGGCGGAGATGAAACGTGTGACCCTGGCAAAGAAGTACAAAGACATTTTAGTTGGTTTAGTCAAAGGTTTTGATCAAAGAATAAAGGGCACATACGTACCAGGCATCCCTTATTATTGCCCCCCTAACCATGCATCCGCCAAAGCCGCAGAAGAAAAAATCAGGAAGTCCTTTGCAACAGAGATAGCGGAAGGCAGAATGATAGGCACCTTTTCAAAAGCTGGAGCACACGCCCACTTTGGATTATTTAGAACTAACCCACTGCGGGCGGTAGTGAACGGGGACGGTTTGACTAGACCAATCAATGATCTGTCATTTCCGAAAAACAATCCAATGGTGCAGTCAGTCAACAAAGAGGTAGATAAATACAATCTTGAAACAACCTGGGATGATTTTAGAGCCATAGCAGAGTTCTTATGTTTGTTGGAAGAAGAAGTCCTGCTAGCAATCTTCAACTGGGCCAGAGCCTACCAACAGATCCCTACAGCCCCAGACCAATGGTGATACCTCATGGGGTTAACTTTTGAACACAAAGTACTGCTAGATACCAGAATAATGTTTGGCGGTGTGGCAGGGTGTGGGGGTTTCAGCAGGGTAGCCAATGCGTGGAAAGAGATAATGATGAGAAAGTTTCCATTGTTAGCTGCTTTTTGCTGGGTGGGCTACACCCTGTTTGTCAAATCGAAGTCAGATAAATCACGTTTTAGTCTTGCAGATATCTCAAGAGCAAGTCAAAGCATGATTGTCGAAAACGTAGAGAAGAGACACAACTTTGCTGAGGAACAAAAGTACCTGGGTTTTATCTGGAATGGGACAGAAAAAACAGTCAGGCTACCAAAAGAGAAAATAGAGACTAGGCTAAATGAGATAGAAGAGTTCATGAAAGAGAAGAGACATACCTTGAAAGAAGTCCAAAAAATCGCTGGAAAGTTGAACCATACGTCCATGGTCTTGCCACAACTGAACTGCTATAGGGTGGAGATCAACAAGTGGATGGCAGAATGGCAACACCCATCGGCTTTAAGAGACACACCATCCTCAGTAGAGGAAGACTTGCACCTATGGCAAGAAGCCCTCTCAACAGCAAAGCCAAAAAGGCTGATCCCAAAACCTGGAAAGTTATACCAGGGGGTAAGGGTCCTTGGCGTCGACCGGTTCCCGTTTTGTTTTCAAAGATTTGGTGAGGTGAACCGCTCAGGAACCGCTGGAACCGGTGTCACCAAAGCCGTTTTGGACACTGTTCCACGAACGGTTCAGGAACGAGCCCATGTCAGCCACTGTTTGAGAATGGTGGCTGATGCAGTGGTGAGGTAGTATCTTCAACACCGGCTGAACTCGGTGTCCAACTGAACAGTGACCGTGTGGAAACGGTCACCGTGGGCGCGGGCCCTGTTTGTCGTGAACGGCTGGCACGGCCACACTTCAATTTCCAAGAAATGTGAACGTTGCAGCGGGTACACTGCAAACATCTTACTGCTCATCCACGTATGAGAGTATGATATGTGTCAGGATGAGCAGTATTCCACATGTACACTCCTGCTCATCTCCACATGTGAAGAGTATGATACGTGTGGAGATGCGCAGTGTAGATGTGCAATGCTAAGAATAAGAAGAGGATCAATCTAGGATTGAGAACTGCGCGTCAGTTTCTCTTATTTTTAATTATTGGAAGGACAAAAATTAACCCAAAATCCCTGGGCTAAATCCTTTGTTTAAAGGTCAACCAACTGGAGGCTTTACTTGTTTATTCCAAGTAAAGCTCCTACGCCCACGTCTTTACCCGCTCAAACTCGTGGATACTAATCCCCACGAGTCTAGTAGAGGTTTGTTTAAATCTCTATCCTCTTTTTTATTGAATCTACTAGCCCAACAGATGCTAGTAGGCTCACACTGAATGGCTTCCCTCCTTGAATGCGGGATCCTATGATTTATAGCAGTTATGGGCACTTCTATCTTTATGAGCCAGTACAACTATGCACTGGGAGATTGGTGGTACCTACTCCTTTCTATAATTTGGAAAATTATTTGGTTGCAAAGTGTCTTCAATTGCATCTTGTGGATTACGACAACCCAAGGGATTCAAGAATGGAGATATTAAAGGAGGAAAAAGTTTCGAATGATGACTTGTTAGTTTTCCACATGAAGGATTTTCACAATTCTTTTGAAAATATTCTTTTGCCAAATGGAGGGTGCTTGAAAGATCATTATGGTGATGTTCTATACCGTAAGTAGATTTATGATGGTTTAACTTTATAATGGCCTGATGCAAATGTGAGGAATCTGATAAGATATGATATCTCAGAATGGTCTGATCACCAATGTGTCACCCAAATTGGTTTGCCCAATCAATGGCGTACCAAGGCACAGGGGAAGATTGTCCAACATGTCCCATTGACAATGTATAGTGAAAATACCTCCGGCTCACATTCCAAGAAATTCAACAAGTGTATGTGCTATCATTTCACATATTCTGGCCTCCCTGCAAAGTTGGCAAATTTGGAATATAATATACATTGGCTGGCGGCGTCCACAAAGGCACATGCTGTGGAATTGGGTGATAATATCATAGACCAGATGAAGTCAGTACAAGCTCTAACCTTACTACCATGGCACTTGTAGTTTCTGATATTGTTTGGGGCAAACAGATTTTTGTCACAGGAAGGTTCTTTTGCATATCATTCAAGCATCCAACAAGAGGTTTTGGTGGTTGCAGTGCAGCTTGTTCATTTGGGGGATTCCCCAATGCACACAGAGGTTTCTAACACCAATAATCCAGGAAGCAGCTTGAACCCTTGCAGGATATGCCATCTTGGTGTCCCTTCAAAAACCATGAAACAGGAAGATTGTTTCATCTGGGCATTTGCAGGTATCAACTCGGAGGGCCAAATGGTGAGATTGGATGGATCTGGCCGTGTGTAATGAGTACCAAAATATTGAATCCAATTATTTGTTGTTTGGTAGGCTACTCAACCTATGCGTAATTGGCGAGAAACTGAGCGGGTCACAAAACAAATATGGAAAGACTCACAGCAACCTAATATGGCTTCCAAAGTTGAAGGCGTGGAGAAGGCTTATGGCCTCAAAGACACTATGTCACAACCCTTTCTGGATAAGATGAGAAAGGTACAAAGACAACATAATGTCAGTGAGGCACAAAGGTTGGCAAGGCTTTATGAGCTTAAACATGGGGACCAAATGTTCAATCCCTTTTTCCGATTGGATGGTATGTTGTCCATTTATATGTTATGTTTGCTCAAACATATCATGGCTCATTTAAATGGAATTGATTCCCAGGGTTTGATGGCCACATGGATACACCAGTGGAAACTCTCCATGTTGTCTTGTTAGGTGTTGTTAAGTACCTTGACAGGGATGCTTTGCAAAAGGTACCAAAACCACAATTACCGGCACTATTGGCCAAATGGAAAGCGTTCATCACTTCAGGTCTCCAAATTCAGCAAATGCAACCAAATCGACTGGTCCATAGTGTGTTGTCCCTCACTGGCAAAGAATTCTGCATTGTGGTCCAAGGGGCTCCATTTGTGCTTTTTGAATGGCTCAGCAAGGAAGAAAGAACAGTTTGGACTCATCTTGGTCGTTTGTGCTCAATGGTGTATCACCCAGAAATCCGTAATATGGATGAATATTGTTGCAAGTTGGATGGTCATATTAACAATTTTCTTTGCAGTATCCTCAGATTGAATGCTTGATGGGTCAATAAGCCAAAATGACACATGGTCACTCATTTAACTGCATGCATTAGGCACCTGGGAGTTTCAGTGCTGTTTCAGACTGAATCCTTTGAAAGCAACAACGTTGTCACCCAAACTGCGTCAATTCATTCAAGCCGACATGACCCAGGTGCACATTTGGCTGAAAGCTTCCTAAATGTGGATGTTTCAAATCATCTGTTTAGTGGGGGTCTCATATGGGATGAAGCAACTCAGAAATGGGTCCAAGGTGGCCATCTTCTGCAGGGGTGACTTGACAATGATGATCTTGTGGAGCAGGTTTTTGGTTTCAAAATTCATACATGGGATTCACTCTTGAATTCAAATCCTTCATTCTACCAGCCTGGATTGACCCCAAAACAGCAACAAGTCCCAGCAGTGTCGTTCTTATCCTTGCATCAACTAGAAATGAAAACTGATCTATCAGCCACCTTGAAATCTGGTCATACTGTCCAAGTGGGTGACTTTGTTGCATTAAGTATCTTGTCTTTGTCTCTTGTGGCTGAAATAGGCATTTCTGTTGACTGAATCACCAATGAATCAGGTATTCACACCATACCTGAACTCAGCCAAGTGGATTGGCCAAATTCGCGCCATCTGGAAGCGCAAAAGTGGATGTGAAGGGATATCTTCTCCCATATTATCAGTGGCATGGGGTACCATGTCAAACACCTACCATACCTGGTATGGCATGCGGTCTCTGAGAATACACCCCAACTCAGTTTATGTATATCTTGAAGTATGTCACCAAAACCCCTTGTTTCTTTTTGGGGGAATTTTACTTATGTTTGAACTCTTGTGCCCAATAGGAAATAAGGTGTTCAATTAATGTTCAGCATAACTGCTATGACTCTGGCTGTCAGAGTCAAAGATCATCATCCCGCCCAGCTGAACTGAATCCACTTCCAAATCCAACAATAAAATCAGTGGTTCACAAAGAGACTGACCTCTTCATTATAAACAGTGCAGCACTGTACAATGGTCAGGCCCATCATGAATGAGCAGATATAGAACCACAACCAGTAACCCCTGAGGCATGGGCTCATGCAACCCAAATTGGTTTGAGCAGGTGGAAAGCCACTTCTACAAAAGCATAAGTTAAAATGACCATTTGATCCCATTCACAAGTGTGCAATTGTTCACCACCAAATCATCAAATATTTTATCTCTATTTTTTCTCAACTTTGCAAAATATTTATTGATTATTCAGAAAATTAGTTTTTGGAATACCAAACACTCAGAGATGGTCAAGAGACTGTTTTCACAAACAAAGCACTCTATTGGTTTGCAAATCACTCAGACAGAAGACCCAATTTTAGAATCTTACAAACAAAACTTTTCATTGAGTCTTTAACTTGGGAATTCCAAAAACTCAGACGTGGTAAGGAAGCTATTTTCAACCACAACAAAGTACTATATTTAATTTCAAATAACTCAGACAGAAGAGAAATCTTCAGATTCACACAAACAATATTACTCCATGAGTCTTTGACCTCTAATTTGGGAATTACAAAAACGGAGACATGGTAAGGAGTCTGTTTTCAACCACAAACAAAGTACAATCTTTATTTTCAATCAACTCAGACAGAAGAGAAATCTTCAGATCCACACAAATAACATTACTCCATGAGTTTTTAACTTTTCCATTCCCCCACTTTCTGTGATTTGGGGTATGGATCTTGTGGGTCCTCAATTTTGGCTATGCCTATAAATTGAGACCTACGGTCTCAGTACCTCTGGTACTGTGGACGTCAACCCGGTGTGTCTTCCTGCCTTGAGTGCCAGGAAGTCACGGATTGTTGGAGTGAAGGGACCGGGGCCCCGGGTTGGTTTCTGTGAACCAACCGGGATTGGTCTCCATGGACCAAACCGTTTTTGGGATGGGGTCCTCCATCCCAAGCCCGCCCGCCCCCCTGAATCTCCTGCCTGGCTTTGGGTATCGCGTGCCTGGATCTCCCTCTACTCGGGTGGTTGGTAGAGCGCCCTGAGCCCCGGGCACACACCCCAAACGCTCTCCTGGTGCCTGGGTATTGGGTCCTTTCTTCTGCCGATCTTCCTTTGGTGGCTTTTCCAATTCAATCGCTCCAATTCAAAACTCACATAAGGTTTCAGGCGTTCTCATTGTACTTACTGAAATTGTGTCTCTCAAGTTAGATCTACCTCTTGTGTACTGAGGATCTGTCTCACTCAATTTCTCTAACTTCATTTCAGCCAACTCAACAAAACCCCTATGTCTGTCTTCTCGGCCAATCGGGGTCGTGTATGGCCTCCAAAAACCTTTTTGTATCTTTGATTTCCTCTTCGCTGTAGGGTTTGAGGTATCTAAGGTAAGTCATCGATGTCCATCTCCCCTGTTGAGTGATTTTCCTCATTTCTGCTCCTAAATTGAACCTAAGCGAAGCCCCTCTGACTCTGAAAGAGTGACCACTCCAAGTTGTCGTGCTTGCTTTCCCCCAGATTTTCTCTGCGCTGTTTACGAATCGTTTCTTCGACAGGGGTTGCCATTCACCGTTCACCGTTGTTGCAAACAGTATGCTGTCTGGGTCTTTGTTTGGTGACATCCTAAACCAGCGTTCCATCGCTGCCACTGGGTCCAAAACGTGTAGCTGTTGTTGGAGATGGATCTCCTGGATCTCACCCGGTGTCGCGGTCTTAGCTTTCCGGAGGTGAATCTTTACAAAGTTGGAACCTCTCTTTTGGCCAAATTCAACGTGACGCCTAAGGATGGCCCCCTCTTCGGTCGAGGTGCGTAGCAATTTGCCCAACCGTGCCATTCCCCAGAAGGCGACTAGGCCTATCGTTCCTATCAGCTGGTCTGTCATGGTCTTATTGTAAGTGTGCTGCACCAAGTCAAACATCTGTCTTATCATTAAGGGGTTCTTGGTTGTTACTAAGGATTTTTGTTCCTCTCCCCTCTTTGTTGCGTTTAGGATTGTTTTAACAATTGCTGGGTTGGCCGTCAGTATTGTCACGTGTTTTACAATGTGCCAAGCACGGATTCCATCCAGGTATTTTTTCGTTATAACAGAGCTGATTGGTTTCTTTGGGCCGTCTGGGTTTGTCGTGTCTCCTGACCACGCGATGAAGTCATATGTCTTGAAGTGCGATATGATCCTCTCTGGATCAAAACCGTCTGAGGTGGCTTCCTTGAACTCCTTGAACTTCAAAATCCCTGAATTGTAGCCCGACAAGGTTGATTTTGCCCAGCTACCTTCCGCTGCATGGCGACCCGCTCTCGATGCTCCTGCTGACGCCTGTAGGAAATGGCCCGGTAAGTCTGCCGTCGTTTGAGGGAATTGAGGTTGCAGGTGGAGGTGTTCTAGCGTTCTTGAGTCACGAGCGGGGTCATATTGTCAGGTATTTTCACTATCACCATATTCGAAACATGTTTAGACAAGTCAGAACCCCTGGATAAACGATCTGCCGTGTTGTCCTCCAATCTGACGCAGCGTACTTCGATGCAGCTCTGGTCTCCTATTAGGAGGTCTTGGAGTCTGCTCCACTCTTTGTTCACCATACTATCCCTTGACTTCCCGTTCCTGATGGTGTTTTCGGTGACTGTGTTATCGGTAAGCATTAAAAACCTCTTCCCTTCCACGTTCTTTAGGCTCCTCAGCATTATATATCCTAACCTAGCCGCCGCAGTCTCTGCCCAGGTGATTCCCCGCCTTGTTCCGTCTTCACGTCTGTCCCATGATCGGCATAGTTGGAATTTTGACCAGTGTTTCCCAATGATTATACCAATCCCGTACGTCGTGGACGCGTCGCCTACCCACCCTACATTTAATATTTCCAATTTGGGGATCAGCCGACGGGGTATTGCGGAATTGAGGGTGTCTAGCCATAGTCGTAAGTCTGTCATGACCGACTCTGGTGTAATCCGAGTGGCTGACTTGTGTTTCCATTCTGCCATGTGATGGTAGATGTCCACGGTGTGACAACGCATCTGCGGGAAAATCATGGCTGTGTGGTTCAGACGAGCTGCGAGGCTCTCAACGCGTTTGAACGAGTGGGTCTTTGACGAAATGAAGTTGGTGAGATCGTCTATTTGTTCTTGTCGCTTTGCGTCGGGTAGTCTAACTGTTTTATCTTTCCCATTCCATATGAAACCAAGATACTTTTGTTCCTCTGCGAAATCACTTGCCTTCTCTTCATTATCTACTACTCCCATCTCTTGGCTTAAGGCTGTTATTGAGTCCAGGGTTAAGTCAGAGTCTTTTTTCTTCATGAACATTGTGTCATCTACCCAACGAAAAGCGGCGAGGAGTGGGAAACGGCTCAGGATGACCGCCTTCCAAGCGTATGCTACGCGTCCAAAACTGCCGCATCCAGCGACGCCGCCAAAAGTAATCCTGGTGTCCAGCCATACTTGGTCCTCGAACGCCAGGATCATCAAATACCGCCATTGGTCTGGTGAGGTTGGCACCTGCCGATAAGCCTTGGCCCAGTCAAATATGGCTAACAGCACTTGTTCGGTTGTTGTGCACAGGAAATCAGCAACCACCTTGAAATTGTCCCAGGTGGTCTTGAAGTCAAGCTTGTTAACCTCTGTGTTCACTGACTTCGCGACGGCATTGTCCCGGGGGTATGATAAATCGTTTATTGGACAAGTGGAGCCGTTTCCATTTACCACGGCTCCTATTGGGCTCGTGCAGAAGAAACCGAAATTTCTGTGAGCCTCTTCTTTGGAGAAAGGGCCTGCCATGCGTCCGGCTCTCAGTTCTAATCTGAAATTTTCCTCGATTTTATCTTTTGCAGCCAGTGCTGATGAGTGGTTGGGGGGGCAGAAGTATCTGGCACCTGGTAAGGTAGTGTCTCGAATTCCCTGGTCAAAACCTGCCCTCAAACCTACCAGAATGTTGTTTAAGACTGGCAGGAGGCCTGCCTTTGCAAGTTCTCGTTTCCACACTTGTACGTTCATCTCACATGACGCTCTGGTAGGCCACTTAGGTTGGGTGTGGGGCTGAGTTTTTGGGTGGTCATCTGGCCTTGTCTCAGGGTGCGGCACCGTAGGTTTTGGCACATCAGGTGCGGATCTGGTAAGCATCAGTCAGACGGGAGGGAGGGTCATGGATTTAATTGGTAAGCACTCTCTCTCTTAGTTCTATTATGGTGGTCTGGGGGCTTAGGTTTGACTCTCATCTCGCTTCTGAACAAAGGGATGCTCATGGTCTCAGAGAGGAGGAACGGTGTGCATGTGATTTCATTTCAGGTACTGCGGCTCACTGGCTTCAACCCTTTTCTTTCCCTTTCCGGCCTTGTGGGCTACGGCTTCTAGAGGGACTGCGCTTGCGGTGTCTCCCTGGATCGTCTCTGCTACTACGATAGTAGTCTCTATCTTTATCGCCATACCAGTCTCTATACGACCCACAATTTCTTCCTCTATCATCTTTGCGACGACGGCTACTGCCTCCCTGCCCCCTTTTTGCCTCGGATTTCTCCTCTGGTGTCATTGTTCTCCATTTGGCTGATGGTATCCACGAAGCGTTTCTCGTGTCTGTTGTGCCTGGTTGGATCTTTGCCCTCACGGGTTCTGGGGTGTACACGTGTTTCTTGGATGAGGTCGTTGAAGTGGATGGTCGTGGGAGGCCGGACAGGGGATTTATGTGAGCAAGTGGACCGTTTGTGGCGTAGGAGTTGGTTTGGTAAGCTCTTTCTTGCCGGGAATCTGCGGTGATTCGGGCATCCTCAAAAATTGCTGACTGGATCTTGCTGAAATTACGGATCCAATTGTCAACGGTGTCTCTCATTACACCCTGGCGTATCAAGCGACAATAACGCAACGCAACCATCCATCCATAATTTTCACGTAAGTCCATCACTACTCGTTGATGGCCTTTGAACCGTTCCGCTAAGGTGATCCACCCCTCTGCTGCCACGTATTTTGTGAGCTACTAGCTTCTTTTAGGCTAGCAAATCACTAAGGAAAGTGTATAAACTTGTAGGGATTATGATCTACAAAGTTAAAGGGCGGAGAAATAAGGTTCAGGCTCTATACTTGTAACAAACAAGTATAGACTGCAGTTAGAGGACCTTTAAAGAAAGGCTTTTCAGCTATTTGGGTGAGGTTTTTACTATTATCAATAGTAGAAAACCGTGCACTGAATCTTCAGTGACTTACACTTAATCAATTATCTTTCTGCTAGAAATAAATTGATTAAGAACACTAAGTTCTTTTATAGTGTTTTAGTACTTTACACTCTGACTAATAGAGGTACTACGCAGGTTTAAAGTTTCTTGATCTGATTAAATCCCAAATCAGATCAAGCAGCACTTAAGGACTACCTCCTTTATAGTTTGATTCCACAAATGGTAATCAACAACTATTACAAAAACTGTGACTAAGACCAGTCACAGTAAAGTGGGGAAATAGGAACCACAAGACAAAGATAACAATCACAAATAAGATAGTAAAGTTTCACTCTACTGAAAGCTTATAATCTAGTTGGTGATGAGGTTTTATTGTATAATAAAAGTGTTAAAGATGTAATGTGATGATGATTCTGAATTTCGCATATTCAAGGTTTTTATAGTCTGGAGTTTGAAAATCCTATGCGCACAATTTGTGGTTCCAAGGTTAGGTTTATACTACATATTAGTATTGACCTATCTACTTGGTTACATACATGTTACATGTGTGTAATGTATGTAATCTTTTAGGAAATGTAAAGTCGTGTACTCACACAGTCTTTTACATAAGTTTTACATGTGTTACATATGTTAATTCATATGTAATTTGACTCTTGAAACTGAGTCTGAGTTGTAATTATTGGAATTATTGTTATTTGTCAGCCTATGGTACTATGGTTTAGTACTCAGGGCTGACATACTTGATGAACAGAGCGATGCTGTCGATCCAGTCTTCAAACTGCATCGTAAGCTCTTCCGGCGGGGGTTGGCCCCCATAAACTCGTAGGGCTGCACTTCCCTCATCAATTTGGGATTCTGTTGGTGCCTTCCTTCGGCTCCACTCGCGTTGGTCGTCGATCAGGAAAAACTTGTTGAAGACCGTGAGTGGAATGTAGGATTTAAAGGTCTTCAACCAGTGTGTGAGTACAGGAGACAAGGAGGTCAGACCCTTTGCCATCTCTTCTGACTCGTTTGCAACCAACCAGCATCCGTTTTCGATTACGTCTACGTTCCGTAGCACTAACCGTCCTTTCCTTGTCGCTAGGAGAGTATTGATTTGCTCTGCTTTGTCTTTGTCTTCCTGTGTTTGTGTCAGATGACGATTGTGGTCGGGTTGTGGAGACGGGTGTGGATGTGGGGTCATCACTCTAGTATCGCTGGTGTGGTGAGATTGATAAGGTGGTCGTTGGTGGGAGAGAGCAGGCACGGCGTGTGACAGGACTGGAGCTTGGGAAGGTGTGAGATGACCGGCTGTTGTGTGTTGGGCGTGTCCGGTGTGGCCTGGTGCACGACTTCTGGGGAGGGCGTCGATTCTGGTGCGTTTTACTAAAGGAGCATCGTCTACGCTGTCGGCGGATGATGACAGGTTATATGGTCGGGATCTCGCCAGGCCGCTTCCACTTGCTACCGGTACCCTGTCGCCTTCTTCATTTATCACGCTGCTCGCTCCTTGTGCCGTTATGTAGTCTAGGAGTGCACGGGCCTCTGCGTGTCAACCAACGTCAAACAAGTACAATACTCAATCGTTGGGGTTGGTGGGGCTGGCATAGCGAGGGTCTGGGATCATTGTAAACATGTCAGAAACTCGTTGATCATGTTCGCCCCTCTTGGGTATCTTGCTGAACACAACTTCCGCTCCCCCTCTGCACAGGGATCATGGAGGGCATCACTTTTGTGGCGCACCCCCCTAGTCAAGGGACCATGGGTCTCATCTCGTCCTGGGATCATGAGCCTTCGGCTCCCCACAAGTACAGATTCGGTTGTGCATGGAGAGGTGGTTCTAGGCTTGTCTTGATTCTGGGGGGGAGAGATTGTGATAAAAAAATTTAAATTCTTACCTGGCTGTGACCAGGTTGACTGCCTCTTGAGGGAAGGGGTTGGGCTGGTGTTGTCTTCAGCTCTTTCCTTTCCTTTCCCTGGTGGAGGGGCCCGTGAGGCCTCGTCTTCCCTATCCGAATTGATTAAAGGTCCTTGAAGGATCTCTGCCGCATCGTCAATCAATTGATCTATCTCGTCCTGTGCCATTGGTTCCCCGTCTAGCGCGTCGGAATCGCGGTTGCCCTTTGTGTTTCTGTGGGGAGTTTTGAGAGGGGGTCCTGGAGGTTGTCCCAGGGCAACCAATCTTGATCTTGTGAGTGTGAGCTCAGCTGCACGTTGCGCTGCTTGCCTCATTGTGTTTTCCATTAAAAGCAAAAAGAAATACACAACCTTGTGCGTTGTGTGCTGGGCGGATGAGGAGTCTTGGTGAGGGATTGTGAGAGATCTTTTTGATCGGCTGAGGGTGAAAGATTTCTACTCTGTGCATGGGCAGAGTGAAAAGTTTTGCTCTGCCAACAGATCTTTCACAGGTGCCAATTACAAACCTCACAAGTCCCTCATGGACGTGTGAAACACCTGTGTTATGGTGGTTCAATTCAGGAATATAACTTTTGAATATAAATTGGAAATACAAAAACCTCAGTCATGGTAATGACTAAAACAGCACATTCTTTTGCATGAGTCATGATAGCCAGAAGCAGAATGTACATTTACTTTCTTATTTGTTTCTGTCATTCATTTGAGAGAGATGAGTTAATAATTCAATCAAAACAGTTCACCAGATGAGTAATCAAAATTCTGATCCATTCGAATTTTATTTTGGTTCATACGTATAAGTAAATGATCATTGTAGAAATTGCGCGCTTTGAACATTAGGTCCATAGCAATTCCAAATTGAATACCCCATTTGACAAGTTGTTCAACATCCAAAATTCCTGGATACAGGAACTTTTCAAACGAGTTGATGTGATGCGGACGCAAGATATCCATCACCTCTTTGATATTGCTTGGTGCGATTGAAGCATATAGCATATAGCATATAATCGGTGAGATGTAACTTTCCGCGTAAGAGATCCACGGTGTGATGATTGAGTGAAATCTTTGTTCCTTGAAACGCCTTGTACACTGTGTGCGGAGTGGGTTCCACTTCATCGATCTTGACATGAATCATGAATGGGCACACAGTACACATTTGTTATGTATTTCAATTTCAAGCAAAGATAATAAGACCATTTTGAAAAAGAACATCCATAGGACTTACAGCGTCCAATGAAACCGGATCATCTGAGCCCGAGCGTATAATTGTGCACTTCTTGCCCCTCTTAAACACCTGGCAAGTGTTGAATTCGCCCAGAACGTCAACCAACAGAGCTCGAGAGAGGCTGGAACATGACAGGATAAAAAAAAAGAAACTGAAGGACATACAGGCGCTGAAACCAAAGGTTCCTTGGGGGGATCTATCATGGTTACAATGAAACCAGCCCCCTTTGTGCCTTTTCCTCTGACTTCTTGAAAAAACAAATCTAATGCCTCATCGCACCACACCAGGCAATTACAATCCCGGCAATAATTTTCATTGGTGTCGATATACATGTTGATTGTGACGAGGCTGTTCTCATCAGCGTTACTCAAAAGCGCACTATTGTGGTTTCCGACTGAGTCCGGATCAATCTTGTCAGCAAGTAAGAACAGGATATTCTTCAAATTTTCCAAAGAATGTTTGCTGATATCAAACACTTTCTTGGTCACAGGAATGGCAAAGCAAAGGATATCTGGAAGTACATGACCACGAGAGTTGTTCGATTTATAAAACCAAAAGTCCGTTGAGGTCTTATTGGGTGAGTAAAGATGGAACTCAACTTTTAAATTAAAGTCCTTATTGGCGGCAATTGGCATGCTTGTGTTGACTAATTGCGCCTTGTAGGTCTCTTTGATGTATAACTCGGGTTGCTCAGGTGGTTGGCTTTCAGGATACATGCTGCGTTCCGGACTGAAGGTAATATTTGGTCAGTGATCTTCTTCACAAACATTGGGGTTTACAAAACACTTACGTCCGTTTCACACGCTGATAATAATTGTGACAGGCCAAAGTCCTTTCTTTCGAAGTTGTGGTGCGAGGGTTAATTATTATGATGGATCAAAAGAAAAAAATAGCAAACAAGGACCAAAACGAAAGCGGAAAGCAGAAGGCCACTTTTGCACTTGGGAGGAGAAGGACAAAAAATTGCTAAGTCCCTTTTCAATGGCAAAAGGAATCAAACCGGTGTGTCAGCAATTCCAATCGCAGGCCTGTCTTGGTGTTTGAACTGACTTGTGATTGCTCTCTGACGTCGAAAGCACTTCTTTGTTTCAATTCTTTTTAGCGCCAGAGTCAAAGTGGCGAGCCAGCCAAGGTGAGTGAACCAGTTCTTTCCTTCTTGTTTTCTTTTTTTCAAAAGTCTTTCCTCTTAACAACGTCCCAACATGCGGCCAGTCATCTTTCAATCCCCAGCATCCAACTATGACCGAATGAACTCAACACCAAATCCTTGAGTGTGTCACGCCTCAATGGCCTTTGTCTTTGAGTCCAATCACCCTCAACAAACCCCCCTGAACCTCAGGTCCCAAGCAGGCCAGAATGACCTTGAACCCAGCGGGGAGCCTAACTACAGAGACGTGTTAGACGATGAACCGCCAAGCACCTCTGATACCTTACAAAGAGGACGGGAAGAGGGTCATCTCAACCATC